AAAGGAGAAAACTAATTGAAATTTTCATTCGGGGCGAACACAACTGGAGAATATATTTGTTCGTTGAAGAGCACCGTAAGGAAATATTACAGACAACATATGAAGCTGGCATTAGAGAAAAAAAGTAAAGTAAACAACGATTTAGATTAGAATCCTGAAATCCTGAAAAAAAATACTCGATAGACAGACGGACGGACGGACGGACGGACAGACAGACGGACAGAGGGACGGACGGACAGACAGACAGACAGACAGACAGACAGACAGACAGACAGACAGACAGACAGACAGACAGACAGACAGACAGACAGACAGACAGACAGACAGACAGACAGACAGACAGACAGACAGACAGACAGACGTACGGACAGACGTACGGACAGACGTACGGACGGACGTACGGACGGACGTACGGACGGACGTACGGACGGATGGATGGATGGATATGAAGCATATTCATCAAGTCACGAATTAGTACTGTACCGAATAGTGATTTTCACTATTCGGCCGAATACGAATAGCTGGACTAACTATTCGGCCCATTACCAATACGAATAGTGTATCATCATCATCAGGTGCTTGGCCGACTGTCATAGGCGATTGTGCCTTGCCACAATGTGCGATCTCCTGTAGTATGCATTAGTGCGTGTGCTGACACACTTCCATGCCATACAACAAGACTGTTAAGAATCTTCTCTCGTTGTTTTCCTCTATCCCTCCTTCCACACATCTTTCCAGTGGTCACCACATGTTCCATTTTTCCTCATCTTATAACATGGTCAAAAAATGACGTCTGTCTCCTTCTGATGACTGTGAATAGTTGTCTTCGGGCTTCCGCCTCTATCAATACCTTTTGGTTGCTTTTTTTTTTTTTTTTTCTGTCCAAGGTATTTTAAGCATTGTTCTGTAAAACCACATCTCTGAGGCCTCAAGAAATTGTTTGGCCTGCCTACCGATTGTCCAGGACTTACATCCATATGTTAAAACAGGATGTCTGTAGCAAGCAAGAATTCTTTTCCTAACCCTCAATGACAAGAATATATTGCATAAGATATTCTTCGTTTTACAAAATGCAGTTTTTGTCTGTCTAATTCTGTTTCTTATTTCAGTAATGCATCTTCCATCTGATGTTATCCATGTGCCCAGATACTTAAATTTCTGTACTTGTCCCAAAATAAAACCATTGACTTTTATTACACATTTAGGAATAATTATGTTCTTTGATACCACCATTACTTCTGTCTTCCCACTATTCAAACTGAGGCCCATTCTTCCACTTCCGTGTATAAAATGGATCTAAAAAAAAAAAAATTGATAATGTCAAATGTAAAATTTTACTTCACAAAATGTAGAACAGAATAGTAAACATTTAAAATCATTTAATGTTTTGCATCCTTCAGTTTTTCCTTGAGCTTACTGTGAATGCCCATGGATTTTGCTTTCTCCGAATTACTGACTAAAGGGTCAACTGGAATATGTTCATATTTTGTATCGTAATTAAATAGTATTTGAAATCATGAAAGTCCATAATACCGAGAATATTCTTGTAGGGTCTGGACTCTGTTTTTCTGTATTACCGTCGCCAAAAACGTGTCAAAATGTGATCTTTTTCTTTGCACGAATACTTTGTTATGTTGTTAGTAATATACAACTCTAGAGGAAAACACTGATTTCAGAGATTAGATATGGCCATTCAATGGTCTTATGGCATCTTTTTAAAAGGAATCGATCTTTGATATAACTAAATGGTTGATGGGAAACAAGTAAGGGAATACCAAATAGATGAATAACTAGACAGCTAGGCCGTATGGACGGGGCGAGGCAAGAGCACTGATTTTAGGAATTTTATTTAATGTTGAATTAAGAGTCAACATCACAGTACTCGTTAGATTCCAATAAGTGATCCGTCCCCATCTTCAACCACAAGCGCCGAGTTTCCAATTCCAATGGTACCAGTAACAGTCAGATTGTATCTTTCCTTCGAGTGTTGAGCGTCAGCCAGATCCACAGGTCATTCCTCGCAGAATTTTTCTCCTCAGAACTTAATGATCCATCTGTGCTTCCACACTGTTTCACTCGCTTTCCTAACGGTCCCTTACAACAGCTAGTTTATAATGAATCATTTATCAGAAAGTGGTACAGAAACAAGCCAATCGATCTGCCTGTTCTTTCGCAACAAGCCAGCATTCATGGAGATAATATCAGAAGAACACTAACCACCCAGGACCTCATAAGCAGTTGCTGAAACTCTGGACGGCGCTTACATGTGATATACATTTCTCAACATGCTCTGTGAGTCATTTACAATTACAAGATATTTGTACATGACTTTGTGATGTATGGATATACTATCACTTATGCGTATCAACATGACACATGTTTACGATGATACGAGGTCTTGAAAGCATTTTTTTAACCTTTCTGACTTTACTGTTGAGTACAATCTCTTATTTTTCAGTGACTGAATCATTTTAGAAAGCCACACATAAAATCTTGACAATTTCGTTCGGTAATCCGGTTTTCCGGTCTGCATCAATAGTTATCTTCTGATTGTTTAGCCGAGCATTAAACATGTCATCGGGCTTTATAGCACTGAACTTAATACGATTGTTTTAACTTCTGAGCGTCAAAACCTCTTCTTAAAAGTGGTTTGTTCGTGTCGGAGACGTTTTTTCTCCCCTTTCATAATTCATTTTTTTAAGAATATCATGTACAGTCTTTCTTTATCAGTTGGGATGAAAAAGATAATAGTAAACGATATTTTTTTTTAAATCATGTCCTGATACACGAAAGTGAATCAGGGACTGTTGGTAGATTAGGAAGATGAGGAGATGCGGTTTTTCTCGTTTTTTATCAAGAACTCTAATGTTAACAATGAATACAGTTTGTCATATGAAGTGAATAGAGAGATTCACGGGCCGGATTTTTACACGACATCACAGTTAGATGTAGTCGTATAAACAGGAATATTTTGTTGAAATAAAACAAGTGGAAGAGACAGGTTATAGTCCCCTGGTATATTTAAGTAATAGGTGCGTCATCAATATTAAAACTATTGCAAACCCTTGTAGTGCTGGTGGTTAATTCATAGCGAAAAGGTACAAAGAGAAGGACAACAACCGTATAAACTCGTTTAAAGTTGAAGCCTCCAGAGAAACCCAGATGAGAAGACAATGCCTGAGGGATGTCAATAAAAATAGCACAGAAGCCAGTTCAGGAGATATGTACACTCCTGCAGGACATTAGCAGTCATTTGGTAGGTAAAATTAAGAAACATTCGCGATTTTTATGTTTTCTCGCAAACTACAAGACCTTAAGCGCTTAATCTCTGACTGGCCAGAAATTTGCCATGGATGTTTTTATGCATATTATGCAGGGCATGTAGTGGAATAACTACAGTAGAGTGTGGGTAGCCTGTTTTTTTTATTACTTATAAAGTTTTTATATTACGTGAAAAGCCATTTTTTTTTTTTATTTTAAATACTCAGTATCAAAAAACAAATTAAGCACACGAAAAGCATTTGAATAAAATTAAACAATCTACTCTACTACAGGCCCTAGGACATCCTGTTATGATATATTTGCCAAATGTGATAGCTAAGAGTGAAACTGGTTGTTGAGATATCATCTTTTAAAATATAAGCTATTTTTAGCATAACGGCGGTCACATCGGAACATAATTTACATACATTTTTCAGACCCCCCCCCCCCTCCTTCCCCCAATTATTTCTGCAGGACCCCCCCCCCCCTTCCCACCAACCACCTCTCCCCCCACCCCCTCCCCCCTCACCCGACAATACATTAAACAAATCATGACAGTGTACTTTCAATGTTTCGTCTGCTTTTCAGAAGGCTGTTACAGTGTTTTCCTGTACACTTACGATAATTGCATTTTCACCAGAAACAGCATTTCTGTGTGCTTTTATATACTTCTCGGCTTGTCTGCTTGTCCTCGTATTCAAATTAAAAGACTTTTTGACGTCAGTGACGATTCAAGCATGGGATGAATTGATTACTTCTGTATTTTAGAAAGCAATCGACACTTGGTGTCTGATTGGTCAACGTTATGCCGGTCGTCTTTTTTTTCATGGACATTACCTGGAACCTATTTTATGATGGGTTCGACCTTAGACCCTAGACCAATTTGATAACAAATGTGGTTCGATGCCGATTCGAAACCTAGACTTTCGCAAAGCTGAAAAGCGGCCGCTGAACATTAAGAGTTTTGATTGGTGAAGAAAATGGACATTTAAACTACTCCGTTAATTCGTTAAATTAACATACAATTGGGTTCTGGCTAATTATATTTCAGTAAAATATTTTGTCCGTTTTAACAAATATAACACTCTTCTAAAAACTATACTCAGTGGAGAAACTGAAGGCGGACGAGCAAGAGCTAAGCCGTAGCATGATAACCAGGGCGAGGGAACGTTGAAGATCCATCGAAGCAAACTGTCATCGCAGATGTAGAATCTGTCTGATTGTCTATTTTATTGATTATGTCATTAAATGCATCAGTGAACAGTTATTTAATTAACTGGTCATAGTCTTTAATAGTAAAGTTTTGAGGTTTAAACAACAGATCAACATCATGGCACACGGGTAGTAACTCATAAATGCTCCGTTCTTCTTCTAACTCAAGTCTGCGTCCTGAAGAAGCTCATTACATTGCACAGGCTCTATAGCACATACGAGGATTCTGAAATACTTTGGGTAGATTTTTTAACTCAAAATTTTGCCAGGGCAGCCCAGTTATGATACTCTTTTCGATTTCCAACTGCCAAGAGATTTTTTACATGCGCAACAATGCATACGGGCGTTTGATCTCACTACCCAGAGACCAGGGGGAATTACTAAAAATTCAAGTCCTCGTAAAAAACCCAGCCCTTACCGGGGATTAAACCCGGGACCTCTAGCACTAAAGGCGGACACCATTCCTGGAGACCACGCAACCTCCTCTTTAACAATTAAAAAATGTTTAGATGAACAGAGAAACTCACCTTCGGGAAGTTTGTACTGGAATGGGAACAGGTGCCGCCCTCTGTTTAATACTTCTCGACTCTCCCATCGACCATCATCTGCAACTGACAATAAACATAAACAGGCTCAACGTCTTGTTGTAGATGTATCTATCAACACATACATACACACAATCCTAGAACACTAAATCAAGATTTTGCTTAATGTTACAATCATCATTATAAGGAGAAATCACCACATACAAAAAAAAAAAAAAGACGAACAAGAGATAGCAACAATATACTGCCCCGCATTTTTATGGTGAAGGGAGTCGCCGTGGCGTTAGTGGCTAGACCGGATCAGAAGGTCGTGGGTTCGCCTCCTCCTTGATGTCGAGCCTTGAGTGGGTTTTTTTGTTTTTTTTTTTTTTTTACGTATCCAAAACATGACCTTGTAAACCCTGGCTCCAGGTCAACCCTTCGGCATTGATTCCAGCCTACCGAGGGAGAAAACAGCTTTGCGGGAGTTTTCACCCGGCCGCCGCGGAACCAACTTCGCTAGAGAGCCGGGACCTTGAGTGGGTAACAGTGTGATGCGGACCACATCTCCCACAAAGTGCCGATTGGCGTATAAAAATATGGTCTAGCCCTATATTCCTAATGCACATAAAGGCGTGGAAAAAGGACCTTTACTTTTTACTATTTATTTCACGGTGGCAGGCGCTGAAGAATAGCTTCCGAAAGCTGCATGTCAGAATGTTTTGGGTTTATATCAACACTGAAGCAGATTTTATTTCTTCAGATTTGCCTATGACTCTCAAGTCGACTCAGCCTAAAATGGGGACTAGGTAATATCATGGAAAGTAAAGACAGCTTATGTGATGTTATCCACATCGCCCATCCATTGCCAATTGGTCTATAAAAATGTTTAGGTCTAGCATTCTGTGACCGAGGTGTCTAGTCCATGATAAGAGTCCTTTACTTCCCCTATGTTGGCTGTATCTCATCAGATGCATACTACAGCATTTACATCGACATACACGGCGTAAAATGGATCAACAAACGTATCTTTTCGACTGAAATAAATATAACACATAGTCACACAACGCATTTCATCACGGTAATCTTTGATAAACAACGGGATCTTCTGCTTACATAGCGTTCGATTGCCAGTCCTTGCCTGATCACTTCAGCTTTTATTATATTTCACAACGGAATATGTGTTTATGGGACGTGTCCAAATTGTCGCATTAGAGATTGGCTGTAAAAAGTCTTAAACAACAAATGTCCAGTCTTCATGGTGCAATCACACAGTATATTTTTAAATTTTCACCCCCCCCCCCCCCCACCCCCTTTCTAGCTAAAGTTGATACACTAATTTGCCGTTGGCAGCTCTACCGACTTTGTTTTGTCATCATCATCGTGTAGCAGGTCCTTTGCAGAACATGGCTCTCATAACGGTCTGCCTCAAAGAAACTCGGTCTCTCGCCAGCTCTCCCGCTTCATGTGCTTTGATACTCAAGAAGTCACTTAAATCCTGTACCCATCTTCATGTTGGTCGGCTTCTGACCCTCCTTCCTGGTACATTGGCTTCTGCTATTATTTTTTTACAATCCGTCGTGACCAAAATATTTGAGCTTCCGAGACAGGGTGCTGTTTTGTAGATCATAATATATTTATTTCAGTCTTAAGTTGTCTGCTAACATTTTGAAACAAAATAACACATCAAGCACTTGGCTTCTTTTTCCAAACGGTTCTGATGTTTTATTACTAATGGTATTTGCCATTCTCTCACGCATAATCTTGAGCAATAATCTCAGTGTATGGTTCATAAGATTGGTTGTTTTCTAAAATATAATTTCTCGATCGCTTCTGATGATTATCGTAAAATGTGAGCACTCGACTGCAGCAGATTATTACTCTGAAATCTTTGTTTTCTCGGCTGCTTCTTGTGTTTTGGTCAATGTCATGTCAATGCGCGCTTGGTGTTAGGTATGTGTGTGTGTATGTATGTGTGTATGTATATATCTATGTACATACACTTGTAGGTAGGCGGTTAATTTGCTAACACTGCAACGATCACTATAACAAAATGCCTATTGCAATCAACATAAGTGCAGATGGAGAAGTCCTTTAAAAGTTAGTTGCGTATCCTTTACAGGACGTTGCAGAACCGACCACAGCATTTATTTTTTGGGTTTTCTATTCAAATTTACGTCCAATTCTTTGCCACTGCTTCTGGTCGGTCGGCTTCTCGGTGCTATTGTTTAAAATAACGCAAGGCGCAGGGCATACAGCTGAAATAAAACTTTTCATTACGAAGCGCGTTCGCAACTCCTAAGCCACAGACACAGACAGAGAAGTCCTAGGCCCATGAATCATGACTACCAGGGTCGCCCCACCCGCTTGCCCCTACACCAAGACTGTCTAGGAGCCGTAATGTAATGGGCCGAAATAATTATCCACAGGGGTACACCGACTGAAGATTGGTAGGCTCCTGCTGTGCGTGCTCACGTGGCGGAGATTTGTGTATTATAATGGAGGCTGAGGTTTAGTCGGTGTGAAACAGACTTAAATGGTTTAAGTACAGAACGACAACATAATGAAAGACATGAAAAGATCTCTCAGTTTACCTTACTCATAAACTTTTAGTTACGACATTAACTCTCCTTCGTTCAGGTAATGTTAGTTGCGTATCCTTTACAGGATGTTACAGAACCAACCCCAACAGCCCCTGGCTGTTGCGTGGTTTTTTTAAGTCAAATTTACGTCCAGTGGTTTGCCATTGCTCCCTGGGCGGTCGGCTTTCTTGATACCACTGTCGAAACCAACGCAAAGCGCATGGCCCGCAGCTGGGATCGAATCGCATCCCGGCATTACGAAGCGTTCGCATCGACTTAGCCACAGAGCCCACTTGTTCAGGTAAAGAGAAACTAAATACTAGTCAATAATTTATCTACTTATTTTTTTTTTTTTTAATCGATCACCGGCTGTGAATTCCAGTGGAAGGTCCCGGTTAATCGTCCGCTTGGACTTTTGCTTTTACATTTTTCTGTACAACCGTTTTTTATTCATGGGCAGCTGTACTCCGACTCGAAGGAAGACGTCACTATTTCTAGGTTGACTGTGGCCATTGTTTTGTGTGGGTTTTGCCGATTTGTGTGATGCTCCTCCGCAGGTATTGCGGAGTACCCCTTTGGGGCAGCTCCAACGTTATACGGGGCAGCATGGGCATTCCCCGTCCAAGGAGGCTTTCCATGCATGCAGAGCCGGCACATGGCGCTTCTAATCGCACGTCCTGCACATGCCTGCTTAACCTTTCTCGACAGGGGTGCGCTCTCGTGGGTTTTGGACTGTACACAAAGATAACTTTTTTTTTTTTCGCACGTTAGATTTTCTTTGACGAGCCGTTAGCCCGACAGAATTTTACAATCAGGCATATCGTTATCAGACTCGGGCAGTGGGGTCTTTGTGATGTCTTTTCAGTACAAATTTTGATCAAATGATTAGACACTGTTGTGGTGAGTATCAGCGCGGTGTCGACGAAGGGTTTGTACATGAGTGGCCACTTGGTGTTGTGGTGTACCTCATCGCGGTGACGACGACATGATGTACAAGGATGGCCAGCCTATGGACTTGCTGTTGTGGTGTACCTGTGACTGAGGGTTATGCATGAACAATGTTCTCTTTAATGTTTATTTTGGCTGTACGTTTGGCAAACCTACTCATGTTCCTGATGAGTAACATTTTTCACACAAGCGTTTGGGGGCGGGCTGATTACCTCTGGGGGCCGCCGAACTTCGAGATTCCCTGACAGCTCTGTTAATGCTCATTTGAGACATTATCATGCACGACGAACGTGCTGTAGGGGTCTTTAGTACAACCATAGTTAAGGACTGGCGCCCGAGTGACGTGAGTATCCTTATCAAATGTAAACTTCCCCTCACGCCTGTGACATAAATCACCGCGCCACTACTACTTACGTGATGAATTTATTTCTTCCTGTACATCCTTTTCCGAAGGTGATATTTGCGGTATGCAACGATACGCAGTACCGGTACCTTCTAAGCATCATTTTTTTTTGATGAGTGATCATTAGACACTTTTGATGAGAGTATCATCAAATGTTTAGACACTTTGTATGAGACAATGTGTTTTTATGATGAATATATCATCAACCTTGTTAGACACTGTTTGACACTTTGAGATGAGTATCATCAAATGTTTGTGATGAGACACAAATTTTAGACATGTGATGATCATCAAATGTTTACACACTTTGTGATGAGTATCATCAAATGTTTAGATACCTTATGATGAGTATCATCAAATGTTTAGACACTTTGTGATGAGTATCATCAAATGTTTAGACACTTTGTGATGAGTATCATCAAATGTTTAGACACTTTTTGATGAGTATCATCAAATGTTTATACACTTTGTGATGAGTATCATCAAATGTTTAGACACTTTGTGATGAGTATCATCAAATTGTTAGACACTTTGTGAGGAGCAATGGAATACTTTTGTCCTAAGAAGCAAACAAAGAAAATCGCACTGACAAAACAAATCTTATAAGTCTGTATCTCTTGCGCTCTATCAAGTATAAGATCATCTTGAATTCTATTAAGAAAATATGTTTTTATGTAAACCAATTTTCTTCGCAAAATTGAATCAGTCGTTCTATTCTTTCATTTCTAGTTTCTTGTCCTTAGTCCCCTAATTTTTTTTTTTTTTTTTTTTTTTTGGGGGGGGGGGGGGGGGCTTTAAAATTTTGCAACGCATTCATCATCCACACATTGTAGAAATGATGGCAAGATATATGGAAAAAAAATGAATGCCCATCTTTTTAATAACTGTAATAAAAAGTGTTTTTTTATATTTACAGTATTGATTTGTACCCCAGAAGTTTTTCAATATTTATGGCAGCGGTTGTATCAAACGTCTAGCCATAGACAGACAGCATTAAATTATTGATTGACATATATGCAACACTTAATGAATGAAATATAACTGATGTGCCGATTAACGTCGCTCCGAAACAAATACTGATCCTGTATATAAGGTACTATAAAGAGGTCTTTAAATGCATTAATAGCAATTATAAAAGTGTGCAAAAATATATC